TGATTGAGGAAATTGGTGTGAGGTGAATGATTGAGGAAATTGGTGTGAGGTGAATGATTGAGGAAATTGGTGTGAGGTGAATGATTGAGGAAATTGGTGTGAGGTGAATGATTGAGGAAATTGGTGTGAGGTGAATGATTGAGGAAATTGGTGTGAGGTGAATGATTGAGGAAATTGGTGCGAGGTGAATGATTGAGGAAATTGGTGCGAGGTGAATGATTGAGGAAATTGGTGCGAGGTGAATGATTGAGGAAATTGGTGCGAGGTGAATGATTGAGGAAATTGGTGCGAGGTGAATGATTGAGGAAATTGGTGCGAGGTGAATGATTGAGGAAATTGGTGCGAGGTGAATGATTGAGGAAATTGGTGCGAGGTGAATGATTGAGGAAATTGGTGCGAGGTGAATGATTGAGGAAATTGGTGTGAGGTGAATGATTGAGGAAATTGGTGTGAGGTGAATGATTGAGGAAATTGGTGTGAGGTGAATGATTGAGGAAATTGGTGTGAGGTGAATGATTGAGGAAATTGGTGTGAGGTGAATGATTGAGGAAATTGGTGTGAGGTGAATGATTGAGGAAATTGGTGCGAGGTGAATGATTGAGGAAATTGGTGCGAGGTGAATGATTGAGGAAATTGGTGCGAGGTGAATGATTGAGGAAATTGGTGCGAGGTGAATGATTGAGGAAATTGGTGCGAGGTGAATGATTGAGGAAATTGGTGCGAGGTGAATGATTGAGGAAATTGGTGCGAGGTGAATGATTGAGGAAATTGGTGTGAGGTGAATGATTGAGGAAATTGGTGTGAGGTGAATGATTGAGGAAATTGGTGTGAGGTGAATGATTGAGGAAATTGGTGTGAGGTGAATGATTGAGGAAATTGGTGTGAGGTGAATGATTGAGGAAATTGGTGTGAGGTGAATGATTGAGGAAATTGGTGTGAGGTGAATGATTGAGGAAATTGGTGTGAGGTGAATGATTGAGGAAATTGGTGTGAGGTGAATGATTGAGGAAATTGGTGTGAGGTGAATGATTGAGGAGGTGAATGATTGAGGAAATTGGTGTGAGGTGAATGATTGAGGAAATTGGTGTGAGGTGAATGATTGAGGAAATTGGTGTGAGGTGAATGATTGAGGAAATTGGTGTGAGGTGAATGATTGAGGAAATTGGTGTGAGGTGAATGATTGAGGAAATGGTGTTGTGAGGTGAATGATTGAGGAAATTGGTGTGAGGTGAATGATTGAGGAAATTGGTGTGAGGTGAATGATTGAGGAAATTGGTGTGAGGTGAATGATTGAGGAAATTGGTGTGAGGTGAATGATTGAGGAAATTGGTGTGAGGTGAATGATTGAGGAAATTGGTGTGAGGTGAATGATTGAGGAAATTGGTGTGAGGTGAATGATTGAGGAAATTGGTGTGAGGTGAATGATTGAGGAAATTGGTGTGAGGTGAATGATTGAGGAAATTGGTGTGAAGTGAATGATTGAGGAAATTGGTGTGAAGTGAATGATTGAGGAAATTGGTGTGAGGTGAATGATTGAGGAAATTGGTGTGAAGTGAATGATTGAGGAAATTGGTGTGAAGTGAATGATTGAGGAAATTGGTGTGAGGTGAATGATTGAGGAAATTGGTGTGAGGTGAATGATTGAGGAAATTGGTGTGAAGTGAATGATTGAGGAAATTGGTGTGAGGTGAATGATTGAGGAAATTGGTGTGAGGTGAATGATTGAGGAAATTGGTGTGAGGTGAATGATTGAGGAAATTGGTGCGAGGTGAATGATTGAGGAAATTGGTGCGAGGTGAATGATTGAGGAAATTGGTGTGAGGTGAATGATTGAGGAAATTGGTGTGAAGTGAATGATTGAGGAAATTGGTGTGAGGTGAATGATTGAGGAAATTGGTGTGAGGTGAATGATTGAGGAAATTGGTGTGAGGTGAATGATTGAGGAAATTGGTGTGAGGTGAATGATTGAGGAAATTGGTGTGAAGTGAATGATTGAGGAAATTGGTGTGAGGTGAATGATTGAGGAAATTGGTGTGAAGTGAATGATTGAGGAAATTGGTGTGAGGTGAATGATTGAGGAAATTGGTGTGAGGTGAATGATTGAGGAAATTGGTGTGAGGTGAATGATTGAGGAAATTGGTGCGAGGTGAATGATTGAGGAAATTGGTGCGAGGTGAATGATTGAGGAAATTGGTGCGAGGTGAATGATTGAGGAAATTGGTGTGAAGTGAATGATTGAGGAAATTGGTGTGAGGTGAATGATTGAGGAAATTGGTGTGAGGTGAATGATTGAGGAAATTGGTGTGAGGTGAATGATGAGGAGGAATTGGTGTGAAGTGAATGATTGAGGAAATTGGTGTGAAGTGAATGATTGAGGAAATTGGTGTGAGGTGAATGATTGAGGAAATTGGTGTGAGGTGAATGATTGAGGAAATTGGTGTGAAGTGAATGATTGAGGAAATTGGTGTGAAGTGAATGATTGAGGAAATTGGTGTGAGGTGAATGATTGAGGAAATTGGTGTGAGGTGAATGATTGAGGAAATTGGTGTGAGGTGAATGATTGAGGAAATTGGTGTGAGGTGAATGATTGAGGAAATTGGTGTGAGGTGAATGATTGAGGAAATTGGTGTGAGGTGAATGATTGAGGAAATTGGTGTGAGGTGAATGATTGAGGAAATTGGTGCGAGGTGAATGATTGAGGAAATTGGTGCGAGGTGAATGATTGAGGAAATTGGTGCGAGGTGAATGATTGAGGAAATTGGTGCGAGGTGAATGATTGAGGAAATTGGTGTGAGGTGAATGATTGAGGAAATTGGTGTGAGGTGAATGATTGAGGAAATTGGTGTGAGGTGAATGATTGAGGAAATTGGTGTGAGGTGAATGATTGAGGAAATTGGTGTGAGGTGAATGATTGAGGAAATTGGTGTGAGGTGAATGATTGAGGAAATTGGTGTGAGGTGAATGATTGAGGAAATTGGTGTGAGGTGAATGATTGAGGAAATTGGTGCGAGGTGAATGATTGAGAGGGGCAAGCCGATGTGGGAAGTGAGGAAGAGAGGGGAGCAGGGAGGATGGGGAGAGGAGGGGAGGGGGAGGGGCGGGGAGGAGGGGTTTGTGTTGGGGGAGGGGGTGGGGGAGCAGAGGGGAATGGTGTGCGGTGAATAAATGTGGGGGGTGAGGCATGCCCAGCCCAGGTGTGGAGTAGGAGGATTTGTGGATGAGAACACACGTTATTTTTGAGAATTCTCAAAAATACCCTGCAGCAAAAGGTACGCAATGCAACGATGAGGAGGACCAAGGACGGAGTGAGTTGGTCGGTGCGGTGGTGTGCGGGCGGGCATGTGTTGATGCCATCATCAACACAGTGAGTATTTGAGTTGCCTCCTCAAATCTCACCTTCAGGGAGAGCATATGAGAGACCATCGACTTTGGGTTTCAATATTACCGGCAACTAAACAGCTCAATTTCTGATAAAACACCTCCCACCGGATTACCTCCCATTCCCTGTATCCTAGAGTATTTCCCTTCCTCTATGCATCTCATCTCACCTTAATTCTCTGGTTGTCCACTGCGCTACAGTTGCCGTAGGTGGGGGCGGCATCGGCTGTCACGTTGCATGCTGGCGAGTTGTTGATCAGACAAGGGTGCAGGGAAGGGAGCAGGGCAGGGCAATATGATACCTTGATCCTCTGGTTGTCCACTGCGCTACAGTTGCCATAGGTGGGGGCGGCATCGGCTGTCACGTTGCATGCTGGCGAGTTGTTGATCAGACAAGGGCGCAGGGAAGGGAGCAGGGCAGGGCAATATGATACCTTGATCCTCTGGCTGTCCACTGCGCTACAGTTGCCATAGGTGGGGGCGGCATCGGCTGTCACGTTGCATGCTGGCGAGTTGTTGATCAGACAAGGGCGCAGGGAAGGGAGCAGGGCAGGGCAATATGATACCTTGATCCTCTGGCTGTCCACTGCGCTACAGTTGCCATAGGTGGGGGCGGCATCGGCTGTCACGTTGGATGCTGGCGAGTTGTTGATCAGACAAGGGTGCAGGGAAGGGAGCAGGGCAGGGCAATATGATACCTTGATCCTCTGGTTGTCCACTGCGCTACAGTTGCCATAGGTGGGGGTGGCATCGGCTGTCACGTTGCATGCTGGCGAGTTGTTGATCAGACAAGGGTGCAGGGAAGGGAGCAGGGCAGGGCAATATGATACCTTGATCCTCTGGTTGTCCACTGCGCTACAGTTGCCGTAGGTGGGGGCGGCATCGGCTGTCACGTTGCATGCTGGCGAGTTGTTGATCAGACAAGGGTGCAGGGAAGGGAGCAGGGCAGGGCAATATGATACCTTGATCCTCTGGTTGTCCACTGCGCTACAGTTGCCATAGGTGGGGGCGGCATCGGCTGTCACGTTGCATGCTGGCGAGTTGTTGATCAGACAAGGGCGCAGGGAAGGGAGCAGGGCAGGGCAATATGATACCTTGATCCTCTGGTTGTCCACTGCGCTACAGTTGCCATAGGTGGGGGCGGCATCGGCTGTCACGTTGCATGCTGGCGAGTTGTTGATCAGACAAGGGTGCAGGGAAGGGAGCAGGGCAGGGCAATATGATACCTTGATCCTCTGGTTGTCCACTGCGCTACAGTTGCCGTAGGTGGGGGCGGCATCGGCTGTCACGTTGCATGCTGGCGAGTTGTTGATCAGACAAGGGTGCAGGGAAGGGAGCAGGGCAGGGCAATAAGATACCTTGATCCTCTGGTTGTCCACTGCGCTACAGTTGCCATAGGTGGGGGCGGCATCGGCTGTCACGTTGCATGCTGGCGAGTTGTTGATCAGACAAGGGTGCAGGGAAGGGAGCAGGGCAGGGCAATATGATACCTTGATCCTCTGGTTGTCCATTGCGCTACAGTTGCCGTAGGTGGGGGCGGCATCGGCTGTCACGTTGCATGCTGGCGAGTTGTTGATCAGACAAGGGTGCAGGGAAGGGAGCAGGGCAGGGCAATATGATACCTTGATCCTCTGGTTGTCCATTGCGCTACAGTTGCCGTAGGTGGGGGCGGCATCCGTTGTCACGTTGCACGCTGGTGATTTGTCGCGGAGGGAGGGGTGCAGTGGAAGGGAAATGGAGGCGGAGGAGCAGCAGCAGGCTCAGTGGCAAAAGGGAAGGGAGGGAGGAATCGGAAGGGAGTAGAGCGAGGGAGCTAGAGGAGATTGAGGAGGTAGAGGGTAACAAAACGTGAGGAAACAGAACTGGAGTCGCATGGATCATAAAACACGTTCTTTAGCATTCTTAAAAAAACGCCTGCAACAAGAGGGAGCTAGAGAATCTAGAGGGAACAAAAACGAAACGTGAGAGAGCTGAGCTGAAGTCGCATGGATCATAGCAAAGCACTACACAGCACACATACGAGGCCTGGCAGTGCACTTGGCTCGAGGAGGCGACTGCGCATACTGGTCAGCACTGCATGGCTTGCACTCCGGCCAGCCCTCCCTGCGATGGCAGGCATACAGGTGGATGGGATGGGTTGGGATGGCATGAGGGCGGTGTGATAGAGAGAGAGAGAGGTGCTGACATGATTGGAATGTAAAGGCAGTCAAATGGTCAGCAGCACTGCATGGCTTGCCTTGCACTCCGGCCAGCCCTCCCTGGGATGGTATGCGTGGATGGATGATAGATGGGTTGGCATGTGTGTGGTGTGATGGATGGGGTGCTGAGATGATTGCAGAAAAGTTGGTAAACTTATCAGCACTGCATGGCTTGCACGCTGGCCAGCCCTCCCTGGGACAGTATTATGAGTGGATCGGGTGGCGTGTGTGTGTGTGGTGTGATAGATTGGATGGGGAAGTGAGCTGATTTTGCACACTCATCAAGGCATGCCGCAGCAGCGGAGGAAGCAGAGCCTCAGTAGAGCCTTCCTGACTGCAAAGAAGGAGGAAGCAGCAGCGGATTGGCATGCCACTGCATGGCTTAAAATGCAGCCAGCACCACCCTCACCACCATCTGCACCACCTCCTGTACCACCATCGACCCATCACCACCATCACCAGGACTCACTGAGAGTAGTGGTCGACAGGGCATGGCGCGCACTCAGTAGAGCCCTCGTCACTGCAGCAAAGAAAAAGAAATGGAATGCAACCAAACCGCAGAAAGTGGCATGGCATGGCATGGCCGGAAATTCCAAAAGAAATGTAAGGTGGAATGTTGTGTCGGCTCCAAAAAAAAAAAAAAAAAAAAGGAGCCTAGCACGCCTGTGAGCCTAAGCAAGCAGCACACTGATGTTCAGAAGCGGAATGACACCATTGGAATGGCATGCCGTTTCACTCCTTGCCCCCTGTCCCCTACTTCCTGCTCACTGCCCCCCCCGCCCCGTGTTGATTCTGTCCACCACTGCACACCACTGCACACCACTGCACACCACTGCACACAACTGCCCGCTGCTCGGCTCACCTGTAGAAGCCTGCCTGGCATGGGAAGCACTGTCGGTCCGTGTAGTCTATGCCCCCCACCTCGACCAGCTGCACGCACACAAGTAGGCAGAAACGGAAGGCAGGCAGAAGGGAAAACGACAAGAGGATCAATCTCATGACAGTTGGCCTGAGCAATTGGACAAGCACCATTCCTAGCCCTACGCTATGATGTCTTTGGAGGAGGTTTGCCCTACATTTTGCTCTCTCCATTCTTTTCCCTTTTTTTTCTTCTTCTTCTCCTTCTCCTTCTTCTTCTACTTCGTTCTTCTTTTTGAGGCAAGGCGCTCATCCATGCCTCAGGTCGTTCCTGTCCCATCCGCGCAGTGCCACTCCCACAAACTCGTGCAGGGCAGCGTTTTTTGAGGCGCCTCAAAAATCGTTTTTTGAGGCGTCTAAAAAATCGTTCCTGTCCGCGCAGTGCCACTCCCACACACTCACGTGCAGGGCAGTGGAGTCCCTGCCCTTGGTGAACTTGGAATGTTGTAAATGTATCTTATATATACAACATACATAGGCTAGAATAGGTGTAGCTCTTTAAGCTATTGGGGGGTTGGGTGTACACTCCAACCACACTTTGTGGTTGGGTCAAGATTTGGTTTGGTCTTGGTCCTTGGTTGGCACTTGCCAACATTTGGTCCTAAGGCCAACCAATCACAAGCTAGCAACATTGTGGGGTTCCCTACTCCACAAGGCAACTCACCCATTGGCCAACTTAGTGGCCAATAGGGTTGCACCTTCTTCCAACCTCTCTTCCTTGCATGCTTGTACTATAGAGCCTCCTTGGCTCATTACTCAACTATTCTCTTGAATTCTATCATGGTATTCAGAGCCAAATGGCTCACGCCACCTCCCTCGATCCTTAGGCCGTAATTTCCTCTCCGCGTCTTAGATCTAGCCTCCCGCGGCCTCAATCCTCCCTCCCGTACCTCAGATCTAGCTTTCCGCGGCTCAGATCTACTCCTCCGCGGCCTCAATCCTCCCTCCCGTACCTCAGATCTAGCTTTCCGCGGCTCAGATCTACTCCTCCGCGGTCTCAATCCTCCCTCCCGCGGCCACAATCCTCCCTCCCGCGGCCTTAATCCTCCCTCTCGCGGCCTCCGACCGCTCTCCCGCGGCCTCAATCCTCCCTCCCGCCGCCACCCCTCCCTCACGCCTTCCGTCGCGGACGGCCAGCACACCGTCGCGGACGGCCAGCAAGCCGTCGCGGACGGCCAGAAAGCCGTCGCGGACGGCCAGAAAGCCGTCGCGGACGGCCAGCAAGCCGTCGCGGACGGCCCGCAAGCCGTCGCGGACGGCCAGCCAACCGTCGCGGACGGCCAGCCCGCGGCCACGAGCACCCCGCGCGTCGACGCGGACGGCCAGCGCGGAGTCGCGGCCGACCTGTGCGCCATCCCGAACGGCCGCCGCGCGATCGCCGACGACCTCCGCGCCGACGCGGACGACCGACGCGGAGCCGCGGCCGACCCTCGCGCTGACGCGGACGGCCGACGCAGAGCCGTGGCCGACCCTCGCACTGACGCGGACGGCCGACGCAGAGCCGCGGCCGACCCTCGCGCTCTCACGGGCGGCCGACGCGCCGCCGCGACTGACCTGCGCAACCTCCCCCCTTCATCCGCGCCCTGCCCCACACTTCCGCGCCATCCTTCCTCTCCCCTACCTCCTCCCCCCCCCCTACTTCACCCTTAATCGCACCAGCAACAGCACCTAGCAGCGACCTTTAACCCTAAACCAGCAGCGCCACCCTGTTACGGCACCAGCAGCGGCACCTTCAACGGCACCAGCAGCGGCACCTTCAACGGCACCAGCAGCGGCACCTTCAACGGCACTAGCAGCGGCACCTTCAACAGCACTAGCAGCAGCACCTTCCCGACTTCGCCATCATGGCGTCCGCAGACTCATCGGTCGACCTGGCGACCATTGACTCTCTCGAGTTGTTGGGCGACAACTCGGCCGCCAACTGGCACTCTTATGCCCACTCCGTCGAGGTGTTGCTCTCCTCGGTTGTCGTCAGCGGATATACCCTCCGTTCCGTCGTGTTCCAGGAGGAAGGCGGACTCCAGCCCATCGCCCCTTCCGCCCCCACCGGACCTCCTCCTGACGAGCCCGGACCTGAGCCCAACCTCCTGGTGATCCTCCCACCTTCGCGCCGGATGTCAACAATCCTCAGAGCATGGAAACTGCCATCCGTACCTACCGCACCGCACTCAACGACCACCTTCGCCGTCAACTGCGCTATGAGGACGACAAGCGCGCCTACGACGAGGCTGCTGCCCGCCACCGCGATTACCAAGCTCGACTCGCCACGTACACTACACGTCTCGCCAGCTACACCACCGACATCGCTGCGTGGCGCATTGCTGACCGTCGAGCTCTCGCCATCCTCCTCGCCACTATCCCCTCCTCCCTCAAACGAGAGCTTTCACCTACCTCCTCCTCCCACCTGTGGCAACTGCTTGTCGACCTCTTTGACCGGCAGGACATCGCCACCCTCTATGCCCTCATCAAGGAATTTGGATCCATCACCATGGATTCCACTGCCGGCGCAGCCGCCTTTACTCGCCGCGTCCTTGACCTTGCTCGCCGCCTCGCAGCACTTGGCGTTACCTACCCTGACACTGTCATCTGCTGCCACCTCCTCGAAGGCCTCACTCCCGCCTTCGATGCCCACAAGCTCGCATACATGCAACTCCTCTCCAAGCATGACACTCCCGCTCAAGTTGCCCAGTGGATTATCACCACTGAGGCTGAAATCCTTCGCCACTCCTCCTCCACTGCCGCGGTAGCACAGCAGCGCAGCGGCAAGGGCGGACGTGGGGGAGGGCGTGGAGGTGGGCGTGGTGGTGGTCGAGGCGGCTCTGGCGGTCGTGGTGGTGCGGGTCGTGGGGCAGCAGCGGCCTTCCCACCCTGTCAGTATCTTCCCCTCTATGGCCCCACCCGAGGCCAACGCTGCAACCAAACCACTCATGCAACTGACACGTGCTTCAAGGCACTCAGCGATGAGTGGTTCGCTCGTGGGAACTCTGGCACCCCTCCTCGCTGGTCCGCCCTTAATCCCCGCCCCACTCCCCTCGATGTTCGCACCTCTCCCCTCTACGCCCCCTCCTCCTCCTCCCAGGCCCACCAGGCCTTTGCTCTCCCCTCTCAGCAGCAGCAGCAGCAGCAGCAGCAGCAGCAGCAGAGTGTCCAGCAGCAGGGACCGCAGCAGTATGGGCAGCAGCTCCAGCAGCAGCTTCAGCAGCTCCAGCAGCAGCTCGACCTCCAGCCCCAACTTCCTCTCCTCCCTCCTCCTCCTGTCCCCCAGCAGCAGCCGTTTCCCAGCTGGACCGCCGGAAATGCCGCCTCTGCGGCCCACCTCTCCGGTCCATCCCCTGCGCCGTCCACAGGTGGCAGTGTGACCCCCTTTCCCTCCTCTGGCTTTGTTGGTCTCCTTAGTCAGCCTCCTTCTGTTGCATCTCCTATGTATGCCCCTGCTATTAATGAAACCTCAATTCAGTATTCCGCCTCACCCTCCTCCACCCTTAAGTTCGTCTTGGACAGTGGAGCCACTGATAATGTCTTTCGAGATGCCGGCAAACTCAATCCTCTTCCCACATCCACGTCCCTCCTTGGCGCTGATAGCAGCTTTTCCATCCCCTGTCACAACACCTCCACCCTTCCCTGTCCTCTCTTTCCCTCAGGTACTGTCACAGGTCTTCACATTCCCTCCCTTCGCACCAACCTCCTCTCCCAAAGGTCCCTCCAACAATCCATGATCACCACTCTCACCCCAGGTGGTGCTAACCATTGTGATCTCTACCACACCTCCACAGGTCGTTTCCTCGCCCGTATTCCTTACTGTCCCCGCACCCGTCTATACACGCTTCGAGTTCCTCGCCCCCTCACCTTCCAAGTTGCCTCCCCCCCCCTCTTCCCCCCCCCCCCTCCCCTCCCCTCCACTAACCCACCCGTCCCCCCCCGCCCCCCTGACTCTGACTGCTCATGTCGCTCCCTCTCCCACCCTGCCATCCTCCTCCATCACAGGCTAGGTCACCCCAACTTCGCCACTCTGCGCTCCTCTGTATCCTCCGGTCTCCTCCACGGTCTCCCCTCTTCCCTCCCTCCCCTCCCAAAGTCCCCTGCCCCCCCTTGCGTCGTCTGCGTTCAGAGCAAGCTCAAGCAGCAGCCGCACCGGAGCTCCCCCTCCGCTGCTGCTCAGCCACTTGATCTTGTTCACATGGACCTCTGGGGCCCTAACCCTTCCCCCACTCGCCAAGGCCATCGCTACCTCCTCGTGCTCGTCGATGACCACAGTCGGTACTCGTCCGTCTCTCTCCTTCGGACGAAGGCGGATGCCCCGACCGCGATCATTGCTTGGCTCGAGCAAGCCAACACCCACTTTGGCCGCCCTGTTCGTCGCCTCCACTCTGATGGTGGTGGTGAGTTCCTTAATACCCAAATTTCCTCCTACTGCCAGTCCCGCGGCATTCTCCAGACTCACACCCTCCCTCACTCCCCACAGCAGAACGGTGTCGCTGAGAGCCGTGTTCGGGAGATCACCAAAACGGCTCGGTGTCTTCTTGTCCACGCCTCATGCCCCCCTTCTCTGTGGGGCTACGCCCTCCTTCATGCCGCCCTCCTTACTAACCTCTACCCTCACCCCCTCCTCCCCTCCACCACCCCCACTGAGCTATGGACAAAGGACAAACCCGATGTCTCCCCTCTTCGAGTCTGGGGCTCAAAGGCCTATGTCCTCATTCACCCGTCTGACCGATCCCGCTCCCTTGGAAAGCTTGCCCCTCGTACCCTTCCTTGCGTCTTCCTTGGTCATAACCCCTCCTCCCCCGACTACCTTTTCCTCCACCCCCCTTCCGGTCGACTAATTCGCAGCAGAGATGTCGTCTTTGACGAGTCCACCCCGTACTATTCCTCTCCCCCGTCCACTGACCCACTCCCACCTCTGACCCGTCCCCTTGTCTGGTCTGACACCACACCTCCCCCTCTCCTCCCTCCTCCCCCCATCCTCCCACCCCCTCCCCCTCCGCCCTCCCAGTACCACGGTGCCCCTCCCTCGTCTGGTGACATCTTTGACCCGGACCCTCTATCTTCCCCTGTCTCCCCCGCTCACTCCTCCCCCAGTGCCCCTCCCCCTCCCTCCCAACCACCTCCCTCCCCCACTCCCCGCACCATACTCACCCGGTATCCTCACACCCGGTCATGTGATAGTATCCTTGGTGCACCGCCCCCTGTTACCCTCTCTACCTCTTCCCTTCCCCCTCTTTCTCCCCTCCTTCACCACTTCTTCCAGGCTGTCTTACACCACGCCTCTCCTGCACCAGCCTCCTCGACCACCTCCCCATCCTCGGTAGCAGCACCTCCAGCAGCAGCCATTGCAGCGGCACCAGCAGCGGCAGGTGCAGCAGCAGCAGCGGCACCAGCAGCGGCAAGTGCAGCGGCAGCAGCGGCCTCCACAGCAGCACCAGCAGCGGCACCAGCAGCGGCACCAGCAGCGGCACCAGCAGCGGCACCAGCAGCGGCACCAGCAGCGGCACGAGCAGCGGCCCCAGCGGTTATCCGCGCCTTCCACACCTCCCTCTCTGAGGACTCCCATGAGGAGTTCCTTGACCTCCACCTTTCCGACCCCTCCCTCCTCCCCATCACCTTTGACCTGTCTGGAACACCAGTCTTCGCCTTTTCCTCTGCTCCCTCCATCTTCGTCCCAACCACGTACGAGGAGGCCATGGCTTGCCCCGACGCCCCGCTCTGGCTTGCCGCCATCATCAAGGAGCTCGAGGCATTTATCGCCAACTCCTCCTTCGTTGATGTCCCTCGCCCTCCCTCCTCTACGAACGTGGTAAAGGGGAAGTGGGTGTTTCGCGTCAAACAGCTACCAGGAGAACCGCCCGTCTACAAGGCCCGGTATTGCGCCAAGGGCTTCACGCAGCGGTATGGTTTTGACTTCTTCGACACCTTCTCCCCCACCGCCAAACCTGCTACCGTTCGCGCTGTACTCGACCTCGCCGCTCGCCTCAACATGGAGATCCACTCGATGGATGTCTCCAACGCCTTCCTGCAAGGCGTACTACGTGAACTCATTTACATGGAGCGCCCAGACGGCTTCCACCTCCCCTTCCCCGCCGACTCCGTCTGGCAGCTGCGCCGACCCGTGTACGGGCTCCGTCAGGCACCCAGGGAGTAGCATGCTAAGCTTGCTGCCACCCTTGCTGAGCTTGGCTTTCGCACCTCCCGCTCTGACGCCAGCCTCTTCCTCCGCACCTCTCCCTCCCCCTTCTACATCCTCGTCTATGTTGACGACATGATCCTCCTCACCGCCGACCTTGCCGAGCTCGAGACTGTCAAGGCGGAGCTGGGCAGCCGTCTCAAGTGCAAAGACCTGGGAGAGCTGCAGAACTACCTCGGCATGACCATCACTCGCGACCGCTCCGCCCGCACCATCTCACTCTCTCAGGGTCACATAGAGCGCGGCAACCCCCAGCCCACTCCCCTCTCGGTTGGGCACCACCTCTCCCCACCCTCCTCTCCCTCTCCCTCCTCCCATCCTTATCCGGAACTCATCGGCTCTCTCATGTACGCCATGGTTTCCACTCGCCCCGATCTTGCCTACCCCATCAGCGTCCTCGCTCGGTTCGTTGGCGCTGGCAAGCACACGGAAGAGCACTGGCAGGCCGCCAAGCGTGTCCTTCGCTACATTCGTGGCACCAAGGACTATGTCCTCACTCTTGGCGGCCCTTCCCCACCACACCTCAACGGCTACAGCGACTCTTCCTGGGCTGATTCTCGACCGGATCGGCGGTCCTCTCAGGGCTATGGCTTCTCCCTCGGCAGCGGTCTCATCAGCTGGCGGTCCACACGCTCCTCTGCCGTCGCCCTCTCCTCCTGCGAAGCAGAGCTCTATGCTGCGACCATGGCCGCGCAAGAAGCACGCTGGCTCACCTTCCTCCTTGATGAGCTCGGAGCCCCCCAACGCTGTCCCACCATCTGGTGTGACAACGCCAGCACCATCCACCTCACCAAGGACGCTGTGTATCATGGGCGCTCAAAACATATTGAGCTTCGCTACTTCTTCATTCGCGATCTCGTTGAGGCCGGCCACATTCGTCTTGGCAAAATCGACTCGGCAGCCAACCTCGCCGACATCTTCACCAAAGCTCTTCCCCTAGCGTCCCACTCCTTCCTGTTGCGTCTCCTTGGGCTCACCCCGCCACCAGTTTTGGCGGCCTCCTGATTACATTTTTTCTAGCCTTATGCATGTTGGGGGGTTGTGTTGTAAATGTATCTTATATATACAACATACATAGGCTAGAATAGGTGTAGCTCTTTAAGCTATTGGGGGGTTGGGTGTACACTCCAACCACACTTTGTGGTTGGGTCAAGATTTGGTTTGGTCTTGGTCCTTGGTTGGCACTTGCCAACATTTGGTCCTAAGGCCAACCAATCACAAGCTAGCAACATTGTGGGGTTCCCTACTCCACAAGGCAACTCACCCATTGGCCAACTTAGTGGCCAATAGGGTTGCACCTTCTTCCAACCTCTCTTCCTTGCATGCTTGTACTATAGAGCCTCCTTGGCTCATTACTCAACTATTCTCTTGAATTCTATCATGGAATCCTAGTAATAAACCCACTCTAGTGTGTGGATGCCCAGCTTTCACTCACTACCCCTCAGCAGCAGCACAGCACACTCACATGAAGAGCAGCAGAGTCCCTCCCCTTGGTTAACTTGGAGTCCTTGTAAACCCACTCCACCGTGTGAATGCCCGGCTTTCACTCACCACCCCACTGCTTCAGTGGCCCCTACTTCCCCTAAGCAGCAGCACAGCACACTCACATGCAGGGCAGCGGAGTCCCTCCCCTTGGTGAACTTGGAGTCCTTGTAGAAATACACCCACTCTAGTGTGTGAATGCACCCAGCCCAGCCCAACCCCTCAGGCTATCAACATGTGCCTCTAGTACCTCCATATGAGCACAAGAGGCATCCCTTCATCCACTCACGTGCAGGGCAGCAGAGTCCCTCCCCTTGGTGAACGTGGAGTCCTTGTAATACACCCACTCCACTGTGTGAATCCCTGCCTCCAGCATTATCTGCACCTCCATTGGCTCAAACTGGCAGGGGGGAAGGTGAGGGGGATGGATGCGGATAAATCGCATCGTCAGCCAATGAAGCATCACCTGGTTAGACTCGAGGCCCATCATGGGTTCGGGTGAGGAGTCAAGGAAGAAGAGCAGCCCGTCGAATTGAGGTGACTCTGTCGCTCAGAGGACCCCAGCTCACAGTGAGTGTGAAAGTGAGCACCGAACCAGGATGACAGACTGACAAGTCACACAGACTCACGTGAAGAGAGGGTATTTTTGAGACGTCTCAAAAATACCCTCTCTTCACGTAGCACCGAACCAGGATGACAGACTGACAAGTCACACAGACTCACGTGAAGAGAGGGTATTTTTGAGACGTCTCAAAAATATCCTCTCTTCACGTAGCACCGAACCAGGATGACAGACTGACAAGTCGCACAGACTCACGTGAAGAGAGGGTATTTTTGAGACGTCTCAAAAATACCCTCTCTTCACGTAGCACCGAACCAGGATGACAGAGTGACAAGTCACACAGACTCGCCTGGTTGGACTCGAGCCCCATCAGGGGCTCTGGCGAGGAGTCAAGGAAGAAGAGCAGCCCGTCAAACTTGTGCTCCGCGCTCACTGTGAACTTGTACCGGATGTAGCTGTGGGTGGGGTGGGTGGGGGAAGGGGGGTGGAGTAGGAAGAGAGGCATTTTGAGTCAATTCAGTCAAACTTGTGCTCCGCGCTCACTGCACTGTGAACTTGTACCGGATGTAGCTGTGGGTCGGATAGGAGTGAGGGGGGGGAGAAATAGGAAAGAAGGAATTTTAAGTCAATCCGGTCAAACTTGTACTCCGCGCTCACTGTGAACTTGTACCGGATGTTGCTGTGGGTGGGGGCGAAGGGCGTTGGGGGATGGGGGATGGAGGATGAGGGCAGGTGGAAGCAAAAGATCAGAGGAGAGCGGAGGAAGGAGAACAGGCAAACAAAATGGGTGTTCCGCGCTCACTGTGAAGCAGTACTGATGTAGCTGCAGCCGGAAGGTCACAGGGGACGGGCCAGGGGTGAAGAGGAGTGAAGCTAAACATGGGACTGTAATGAGAGGATCAGATCAACAAATCACACTGCTGCCTGCACTTACGCAGTGCGAGCAGTAGACTGAATGATTTGGGATGAGATGCCTGTGGGATGGAGGGATGATTTGGTACTTGAGAGGTGTGAAGTGAGTGATGCTACTTGAGTAGTATGGAGAACAGGAGGGAAAAGCTGTTGGCTATGAGTCAAGCCTGAGGTCCGCGGTCAGGTCACTGCAAAATACAGCGTTCCCAAATTTTGAGGCGCCTCAAGAGACGATTTCTGAGGCGCCTCAAAAAGCTGTTGGCTATGAATGAGTCAAGTCTGTGCCCCGCAGTCAGGTTAACTACAAGTCTGGCTATGACTGAAGGGAGGAATAGCGGGCAAAATACAGCATTTTCAATGGATGCAATTAGCAGTGGAGTGCGGATTGTGGGTGTAGCTGCAATGTTGAGAACAGGGGGACGAGATGGAATTGTGGAATTGATGGTGGTTATTTAATTAAGTCAAACTTGTGCGCGGCACGGCACAGACTGCTGCGGAGAAACATGTGCGGGTGATGTCTCAAACTTGCAGAGCTCTCACTCACCCCGATCGGATGAGCTCCACTTGCATGCGCAGCGATGCACGCAGGTTGTTGTGGCAGTTGTAGGAGCCCAGGGAGCAGTCGTCCTGAGAGGAGGGTTTGAAGGAGGTGAGCAGAAGAATTTGCGGTAAGAAGAGGGAAGAGACATGAGGGAGCAGGTTGTTGTGGGAGTTGTAGGAACCCAGGGAGCAGTCGTCCTGCACAGGTGGAGAGAAGGAGGTGGCACGAGGGATATGGGGATGAGGTAACAGACAGAGGGATGCAAGGACCGTAGGGAGGGAGCAGGTTGTTGTGGCAGTTGTACGACGCCAGGGAGCAGTCGTCCTGTAAGGATGGAGAAAAGGAGGTGACATGAGGGATATAGGGGGGAAGATGGAGGAAGATGATGGAAGATGAGGGAAGCAAGAAGAGGGAGCAAGCTCGTGGGCAGTTGTAGGACCCCAGGAAGCAGACGTCCAGCAAGTGAAACGGAGGTGATGTGGGAAGGATGAAGATGCGAGGGCTATGATGCGTTATGTGCGCCTCTAAGTCGCGCGTTGTTGGGCCAGTTGTTGGACCTCACAATGCAATCATCTGGCAAGCAAGGGCGCAGGGCGAAGCAAGATGACGGATATGAGGGAGGTGTGATGAGGGAAAAGAAACGAGGGAGCAGAGCAGGTGGCTGTGGCAGTGCTAGGGCCCCAGATAGCAATCGTTCTGCACGTGGAAGGAACAAAAAGTATGGTAATCCATGGTATTCATGTGGCGTGCGCATGCATGATGCATGTGCCTTACCCGGGTACCATTCGTTGGGTGGATTGTAAGGCCCGACTCTGAGCTGACCCTCTGGTGGGAACGTTTGCATTGGTTTAGAATTCAAATCATGTGGCGTGTGCATGCATGATGTATGGGCCTCACTGGGTACCATTCGTTGGGTGGGTCGTAAGGGCCGACTTTGAGCTAACCCACTGATGCATACTGCCTGTTTGGAACGTTTGCATTGATAAAAAAATCACTTACACCTGTTGTGTGTGTGCAAGCACATGCCTCACCGGGTACCATTCGTTGGGTGGGTCGTAAGGGCCAACTTAGAGCTGACCCTCTGGTGAGAACGTTTGCACTGGCTTAAGATTCAAGTCATGTGGTGTGCGCATGCATGATGCATGTGCCTCACTGGGTACCATTCGTTGGGTGAGTCGTAAGGGCCGACTTTGAACTGACCCTCTGACCTAACGCATACCACCTGGTGTGGTGGGTACGTTTGCGTTGATTTACAAGTCAATTCACTTGGTGTGTTTGGCAGGTGCATGTGCCTTACCGGGTACCATTCGTTGGGTGGGTCGTACGGGCCGACTTTCAGCTGACCATCTGATACATACCACCTGTTGGGGTGGGGGAGGTGAGAACCAACCAAGAATGGCAAACATACAGGAAGCTTATTGAGTCTACATATTTTGTGACGTCTCAAAACTATACAGGAAGCTTATTGAGTCTATTTAAGCCTTGGTTGGTCCTCTTGCTCAGGGCCAGCCAGACACTTAGGTAAACACTGCCAACTAGGGCCTAGGCGCATAGGCCTAAACTTCCGCATTTGAGATGTTTGCTGGATAAAGCACGGGTACTTGCTGCACCGACACATATGTTTGCGTGAGTGACGCATCCAGATGGCCTTACCCATCGCACTTGTATGAACCGGAGGAGTTGAAATGGGTGCAGTCGGTCTGGCAGAGAAAGGGAGGGATACAGAGCAGTAGAAAGGGTAAGCAAGAGATGCATGTGAGCAGCAAGTAAAAAAGAATCACACATCAAGTTAAAAATACACGGCTCATTCCGAGTTCGTTCCAGTCTGCAAGTCCAAGCAGGTCAAAGTTTCCCCATTTGCACTCATTTTGGAAAGTGGTTGTCATATTTTATAGAGTAGGCGCTGAAGTACCAAACTATATACCTGGAAAAACGGCCATGAGGCGCGGCAGTAGCGAACTTCAAGGTGCCGCAGAAACTATTGTACCGCAAAGTTCCCAGCTATACCTGGAACAACCGGTCGTCAAGCTCATAGAAAGCGTCAAAGCGGATTCCTCCCCCTATGCTGTACATGCTGGGCCAAGCTTGCACTTACTCATCACCACCTGGAGATGTTTTGAGACGTCTCAAAACACTTCTTCAAACACAAGCTTGCACTTACTCATCACCACCTGGAGATGTTTTGAGACGTCTCAAAACACTTCTTCAAACACAAGCTTGCACTTACTCATCACCACCTGGGTCTAATCATTGCTCTGCCCAGCCACACCCAACCATAGCCAACCATACCCAACACCATACCTGGAACAGCCCGTCATCAACTCGTAGAAAGCGTCAAACCGGATCCCTCCTCCAATGCTGTATGTGCCAGGCCTGCACTAGCACCATGTTCTAACCAACACACTGCCAGCCGGGCCAGCCGGCCACACCATACCTGGAACAACCGATCGTCAAGCTCGTAGAAAGCATCGAATCGGATCCCTCCCCCCATGCTGTACGTGCCGGGCTTGCACTTGCGGCACTTGTCCCCGTGCAGGTAGGAACCAGCAGGACACGTCATGTCTGTAGTGGGAGGGTGAAGGGAAAGGGGGTACATATGGGATGTGACCTTGTGTGCTCTTCTGTACGTGCCGGGCCTGCACTTGCGCCACCTGTCCCCGTGCAGGTAGGAACCAGCAGGACAGGTCATGTCTGTATTGGGAGAGGGCGGGGGAGGGGCGGGGGAGGGGTAACGTGGGATGCATGGATGGTGGCGCCCTGTATGGTCTACTCTGCCCTGTGTGCCGGGCCTGCACTTGCGGCACTTGTCCCCATGCAGGTAGGAACCAGCAGGGCAGGTCATGTCTGTGGGGGAGGGGGGAGAGTGGAAGGGGTGGGTGGGAGGGAATGGAGGGTGGGTGGGCATGGTATGGTATGGTATGGTATGGTATGGTATGGTATGGTATGGTATGGTATGGTATGGTATGGTATGGTATGGTATGGTGTGGTATGGTGTGGTGTGGTGTGGTGTGGTGAAGTGTGGTGAGGTGTGGTGTGGTGTCGTGTGGTGTGGTGTGGTGTGGTGTGGTATGGTGTGGTGTGGTGTGGTGTGGTGTGGTGTGGTGTGGCGTGGAGTGCAGTGGTATGGTGTGGTGTGGGTGTGATGTAGTGTGGCGCGGTATGGTATGGTACGCCACGGTATTGTATGTATGTTATGATATGACACACATTGTGGGAAAAGTATCCAGATGGTTCAAACATTTGCCACATACAGCAGGGGATGTATCCAGGCGATGGCAGCGCCACAGAGCGACTAAGTTGGAATATACGCGTTTCGCGTTTTGTACGCATGCGTGTATACGCTAGAGTATAATACGCAATACGTCCAGAGAGGATGTTGATATACGCTTGAAATACGGAGGGGCGGGCAGCGTAAAAACTTTTCCTGGCAGGGTAAAATACCGATTTCTAGCGAGGGGAGGGGGATATGCACCCACACTTATCTCTTCCTGTTTTTTTTGGAATGGGATTTCTCGCGGATATATGCGGAAGTGCCTGAAATTGAAATGATCGCTATCTTCCTAAAACACCATCGCGGTGGAACCTTCCGCGGACGCAATTCGAACGTACGTGCACTCACTAGAGTGCTTGAGAGGGTAGATATGGCTGCAGCGGATTAAGCTTAGCGCATGTTATTGAAAGCGATGTGTCGTCAACTACGAAAATGGAGACAGCGTAGGTTGCTTCAGGCTCGCCTTGTATTCGTGCGTGCATGCTGTGCGTGGATTTCTTGGTGGGGATGGGTAGGTTGGATCTGAGAGGTATGTTGGGATTCAAAGCGGTTGAAAACTTTTGAACTCCAAATTTGGGAGCCAAAATTGAGTTGGCGATGTTCCTCACAAATTGTTCCGCATCGCAACTCGCAATTCCTATTTTTAGTTTTTTTTTTTTTCGACGGGCTGCCCGCCCGAAATCCGAGCGTATTTCTAGCGTTTTGCGTTCTTACGTATATACGCCAGCGTACAAACGCAATACGCCTTGCCAGCCGAGCGTATATTCCAACTTAGCAGAGCGAGTCATGTGCAGTGCATTGTGGTGGATTGATGAGGTTCAATCCAGCCCATCACACAACTCCCAGCCCACCACTCAACACCCAGCACACACACACATACCGCAGGGGATGTACCCAGGCGATGGCAGCGCCACAGAGCCATGTGCTGTGGGGTTGCAGCCGCTGTCAAAGTAGTATATCACCTGGTCAGGGTGGTTAGGGTGGTGTGGGGTTGGTAGCAATAAGGATGAAGCGATGGTGATGGAGTCTGGTCGCAATGGCAGCGCCACAGAGCCATGTGCTGTGGGGTTGCAGCCGCTGTCAAAGTAGTATATCACCTGGTGGTCAGGTGCGGGTGATGTGGGGTTGATGTGGAGGGGGGGAGATGTGGGGGTGGTGATAGTGATGGCGCTGCTGCAGGCAGAGCCATGTGTGGTGGGGTTGCAGCCACTGTCAAAGTAGTTAATGACTTGGTGGTCAGGGTGATGTGAGGGTGATGAGAGGGTGATGTGAGGGTGATGTGAGGGTGATGTGAGGGTGATGTGAGGGTGATGTGATCATGTGAGGGTGATGTGAGGGTGATGAGAGGGTGATGTGAGGGTGATGGTGATGGTGATGTGAGGGTGATGTGAGGGTGATGTGAGGGTGATGTGAGGGTGATGTGAGGGTGATGGTGATGGCTGTGCCAATGTTGATGTTAGTGTTGCAAACACTTCACTATATGACATAGCTCCTCGGATGTAGTCGCACTTGCCATGGATGGTGCGCATGTTGCCCTCCCCACATGCATGCCACCATCACTACCACGTGTTATCACTTGTTACCGCATGTTACCACGTATTTCGGCGTGCCTGGATAGTCTTCTCTTTGCTTAAAGGCTGGTTGGAGGCGGGGTCTCGGATGTAGTCGCACTTGCCATGGATGGTGCGGATGTTGCCCTCCCCACATGGCACCGGGGCTAGCTCTGCAACAGATCATATTCCATGCATTATGATATGAGCATGGGGGGGGATGTATGCAGTGAATGCATAATTTTGGTTGCCTGAGTTGAATGCATATTCTGGAGGGTTTTAGATGCGGGCATGGATGGATTTGCATACAGGTATGCACATATGGTAGACACACATGCGTGCATACAGGTAAGTCTATGGCAGCAGAGGCAGCTGTGAATTAAACTCAAGCAGCATGCTGCATGCACACAAACACTCGCAAAGCTAAGAATCGATTTAGCACTAAGAACGTAGAAGAGTGCTTACCACAGAAGAGAGGGTCGGCTGGAATCTCCCAATTGGAATCCCCCCCCTCACAGTCTGTTGGCATTGAGCAAATGAGATATATACAGCATAACACATTGCAGATTTAGCTTAGACAAAGTGCAACTGGAAGCGAGAGCAACCAGGACTATAAGACAGGGTTTGGAGTAGTTGTTACATTACATATCAGTCACATAGGGACAATTGGGCGTGCTTCAAGTACCTGAGGATTTTTCAAAAGTGGTATCGTACAGTTGCAGCTGTTTACCTATTAGTCACATAGGGGCAATGGGCATTGCAAACTTCTAGGGTCACTGGGTCCGTCAATCCTTGCTGAAAACCCCCTAACCAATTTTGCAGGTGGTACGAAATCAACCCAAGGGAGGGCAAATCCAGGTCATCTAGTCAAGGGCAGGATTTAGTTTTCCCAAAGGAAATGAATTTGGATTTGCACTTGGATTTTGATTGTGATTTCGGTTTGTGGGGAAAAACCATTACATACTGGATGGTTGGTAGGAAAGGGTGCCGGAGCCGTTACACGTCACGATGACATTCTTGCGCTTGAGAATCCTCAAACGCCATGCCAACAGTGGAGGAGCTGTTTTCTGCCATGATGGCGTACTTGCTATGAGTGTTGAGCGCTCAGCGGTGATTTCTAAGTCGACTCAAAAGTCACGCTGGGCTGGGATTCAACAGGTTTTCATTATGTACGTACTGGTGGGCTGAAAGGAGAGGGTGCAGGAGCCGTTATCTGACTTCACATAATTGCGCTCATAGTCCTCTGGCGTGCAGTCTGCATGGGAGGAGAAACAAGGGCGCACACACAGACGTGGTCACATGGGTACAGTCTAGCAACTAGAGCATTGCCAGGTGATTGCCAGCCTCTGGTGTGTGTGTGTGCAGTTATTTCGTGTGCAGTCGTTTGGTGTGCAGTCTCCGTACGTTTGATACCACGATATCAATTTGGGCCCAGGTTTGACGTACACACTTGAATATATACCACCGTATCATCTGGGTTGAAGCTTAGAGCACATACTCAAACTGATTCTATTGGTCCCTCCCTAAGCCCTAAAACTCTAGATCCCTAAACCTGAAACCCTGAAACCACGGTCCACCAGCTCATCAGCCCATTCCATGTGCCAGAGCAACTCACTGAAGGGCTTAGGTCAGTGCAAGAGGTGCAGCTGGCTGGAAGGGGTGGGTTTCCAGGCGCCCCAGAAGTGATTCATTTCAATGGCCAGAGCAACTCACTGCATGATTCAGGTCGAGGCAGGAGATGCAGCTGGAAGGGGTTGGCGTAGTTGGCTTCTGAGGCGCCTCAAAAATTCATTCATTCATATATGCCAGAGCAGCTCGCCGCAGGGCTCGTGTCGATCTTTTGAGACGTTTAAAAATTTCACTTCTCTCACGTGTTAAGACGTCTCTGTGATTCATTCATATATGTCAGAGCAGCTCGCCGCAGGGCTCGGGTCGAGTTTTTAAGATGTCACAAAAAATCACTTCTTTCACGTTTTGAGACGTCTCAGTGACTCATTCATATACGCCGGAGCAGCTCACCGCAGGGCTCGGGTCGAGGAGAGAGGTTCAGCGGGAAGGGGTCGGAGCAGTTGCGGGCCTTGTTGAAGTAGATGCGCCGCGTGCCACCTGCAGAAGCAATGGTGGGCGCAGAGGAGGGAGTGAAACATGGGTTCATTCGTACGGGAAGGGGTCGGAGAAGTTGCGGGCCTTGTTGAAGTAGATGCGCCGCGTGCCACCTGCAGAGGTGGTGGTAATGGGGTGTGGGGGGCAGAGGCGGGGGAGATGGTATGGAGAGATGGAGGAGCAGGGGAAAGCAGGAGGCCTTGAGGGAAGGTGTTGGTGCAGTTGCGAAGCTTTGTTCAAGAAGATATGCCGATTGTCATTGGCAGGGAAGTCACATTGGAAGAAATACATGGAACGTCTAACTGAAACCCCATCTCACCTTGACACGGACACACGGAATGATCTTCTTGAGCCTTCACCCATGGCAGGGGCCGGAAACTCTGGCATAGTCCGACAGCTGGCACACCAGGGAGCTAGGCTCGGGAACAACAAAATGCTCTCATCTCGAGGTTTCTCTCACCTTTTGCACAAGGACGCAACATTACGCTCTTCTTGCACCTCAACTCACCTTCGCAAGGGCCGGATACTCTGGCATAGTCTGAAAGCTGGCACACCAGGGAGCTAGGCTCGGGGACGGCTGGCAGCAGCTCCTCGCCCTCTTCCGAACCTAATTCAGGTGCTTTGGATGGAGGTTCGGAAGGAGGTCCAGAGGGAGGTTCAGAGCGTGGTTCGGAGGGCGGTGCGGCGGATGGTTCAGGAGCAGGTGTTAGGGCAGGAAGGGATGGTTCGGCAGGCGATGATAGTGGAGCGAGCAGGGATGGCTCGGCAACAGGCTCGGGAGGCGGATGTGAAGGCTCGGCAGCAGGTTTGGAAACATGCTTGGAGGCAGGGAGGGAAGGCTCGGCAGTTGGTTCAGCAATTGGAAGCTGAGACTTGGCAACGGGCGCAGCAACTGGTGATGGTGCTGATGATGGTGATGGTGATGTTGATGATGGTGCTGATGTTGATGCTGGTGCTGAAAATGCTGGTGGTGATGGTGATGCTGATGGTGCTGATGATGCTGGTGGTGCTGGCTGTGACAATGCTGGAGGTGAGGATGATGGTGCTGATACTGCTGGTGATGATGATGGTGGTGAGAATTCTGGTGATGATGGTGGTGATTCTGCTGCCGCTGATGGTGATGGCGCCGCTGGTTTGAATGCTGACGCTGATGCTGGCACTGTACCACCGACTCCACCGGATGCCGTCCCTCGTACTACCTCCCTTGACATTGTAGACCCTGTCCCTCCAATTGACTCTGTTGACCCAGTTGAACCTGTTCCATTTGTTGACCCTGTCCCAGTTGTTGTCCCTGTCCCGCTTGATCTTGTTCCTGTTGTTGACCCTTTTGACTCCTTCCCTGGTGGCGTTGACTCTGTTGACCTTGCTGACCCAGTAAATCCTGCTGCTGCTGATCCTGATGCTGCTGCAGGTGCAGCTTCTGTTGCTATTACTGTTGCTGTGACTGCTGCTGTTACTGTTGCTTTCGAGAAGGCAGCGACGTGCCAGTGCGATGCTGAAAGAGCCAGCAGCACTAGCAGCATGAAGAGGTTCGGCACCCGCCACGTCAGCAGCTCCATTCTACACGAAATGCGGCACGGATGCATAACGGTAACGGGTCGGCCTTTATTTGTTCCAAACGATGCTCTCAAAAGCCAGAGGCGATGAGTTGACTCGAAAATGTTCCAAGCGAGGTTTAAGAAGATACCTGACGGACAAGGAACGGGTGCTAAGAGATTGAGAAGATTTTGTCAAGGGACTAATGCCAGAGGCAACGCGACCGCGCGAGTGATACCAGAAAGGTTCGTTACGCGTTTCGAGACATCTCTAAAATCTAGGCAAAGAGGAGGCGACTACGAGACGAAATTAACCTAGGAATTTGATCGTAGAATCATCTGGAGACGCGACGGAGCCCGCTTGACGTTCCACTTTCCAGATGCGATGCGACGATACTGCCGTCACGCAATGTTGCTCGCTCGAGCTGTAACGCATAACAACCGGTGCGCCTAAATAACACCCTCGCTTTGGCAGTGGATATCGGGATGTTATACTACTACTCGTCAAAGGACAATGCTCTAGCCGTTAAGTGAGAATGCTCTACTAGCCAGCAAGCGAGAATGCTCTAGCCGTCAAGCGGCATCATGTTCCGCGTTTGACGCGAGCAATGATGCCACGTTTACCATGTGGCATCATTGCTCGAGTCAAACCCGTTGTAACACGGGCTTATAAAAGAACGCACTTAAAATCACAATAAAGACCCGGGCTTATAACAAATGCCCACAAAAGGGTCTATAATAGGTGTTGGAATTATCGATAGGTTATCATTGTCACAATGCTAGGCCAAAACGAGAAACAGGCAAGAAGGGTTTTGACTAACAAGCATAGGGATACATATATGCAAACCCTAGAAGGGCTGTACTCGCTATAGAGTACCCCACTGCAGGCTAGACAACCATCACATTCTGACACACCCCCATAGTCAAAGTGGGGTACAATCAACATAACAAGCAGACAGAGCAATAGTTCACAATTATAAGCAAAGCTAGAGGCTATCACAGAGGGCAAGTGAGGAGGAGGAGAAACTGTGGGAGCAAGAAGATGAGAGGCGACGGCTGAAGCTGCAGACACACAGGCAGCAGGAGTACGCCGCACTGACGCTACCAGGCTAAACCCGGACTACACGGCGACAGGGGGTCGCAGCTGGCTCGCTGTGCTCCCAGGAGTGCACACACTGTAGCTACCGGGCGCAGAGCCCCGGACTACTCAGGCCACAGGGGGTCGTGGCTCCCTGGACTTCAGGCGCTGCGGACGACAAGTCGACGGCCTCCTCTCAACTTCCCCCAGCTGTCCCACCCCCTTTTTACACACCCCCTGCTGTTCCCCTAGCACCGCTCACACTACACCCCCTAGCGCCACTCCCTCGGCTCCCACACACCCACCCCCCTCAGCGGCAGCTGCAGCAGTGGGAGACGGAGAAGGAGGAGGAGGAGGGGAACGGCACTCAGTGGCTTCACCCCCATACCCCTCACCCCCAAACCCTAATTCAGGAGAACGGGCTGTAGGAGGGGTGGGGCGCCAGTAGAAGCACGGGGGACAGTGGGGAGGGCAGGGGCAGCGAGGAACGGGCCGCCCACGGGCCTGGCATAGCCGCCCGAACCGCGCGCAGGCGGCCCGAGCCGCGCGCGGGCCTGGCGCTTCCCGTACGGGCCGCGCGCGGGCCTGGCGCAGCCCGTACGGGCCGCGCGCCGGCTGTACGGGCCGCGCGCAGGCCACGACGGGCGACGGGGGGCGACGCGCGGGTCCCCGTCGCCCGTCGCAGCGCCTCCCGGGGGCGACGCGCCGAGTGACGGGGCAGAAAACCGCCGCGCGCCCCGGGCGCGCGGCGGGAAGAAAAAATCGCTGCGCGCCCGGAGCGCGCGGCAGGCAGGAAACAGCAGGAAACAACAGCGGAAGCTTCTGGTGGGACCACCCACAGGATCGACCCAGGAGGGTCGACCCGCTCTGATAGCATGTCACAATGCTAGGCCAAAACGAGAAACAGGCAAGAAGGGTTTTGACTAACAAGCATAGGGATACATATATGCAAACCCTAGAAGGGCTGTACTCGCTATAGAGTACCCCACTGCAGGCTAGACAACCATCACATTCTGACAATCATAACATTCCCAAAGGTTCCCTTCTAGTGCACCACCTCATAGCGAAGCAGTTTCACTGCACCAGTATCGCAACATGCTCGTATATGTTACGAATAGTAAAATACTATTGTGCACTCCTAACCGCAGCTAAGTGAAACACGCAGTATCGGGGATGAACACGAAGAGTCAAAGTTGACTCGAAGCGACACGGACAGTTGGGAAAGATCTGGACCGTCGGAGCAGACGGCATCAGGCAGCTGCAGGTTCGAGGGAATTGGCGGGAACAGTTTCGTAACTGTTCGAGCTGCACGGTTGGGTTTGAATTTGAATAAGGGAATGTACCCCTTAGAGTACATGGCTAGCTAGGTTGTTTCATATTCCTCTGTACCACTATTTATATTCTCTGTATCTGCATGTTTTAATTCATCTCAAGCATTTTACATTCACTCTGTTTTGAGGTCAAGGGCCCACCACTACGACCTAGACGTGTGCGAACCTTCCTGAGGTGATCCTAGGGTCGATCAATCTCTGATCGTAATGAGAGCGACTCGGAAATCTTTCGCACTGCCACCTCCGAAATCTTCGACAAACGAAAAGTGGCGTCCGGCACTCGCTCACGTGTGAGAATGGCCGGAGGATCTGGTGGTCAGACGAATCTGACGGCTGAAGCGCAACCCAATCCGGCTGCGACAAGCGAGGAAACGACGACGATTGGGACCGCCGTCCTCGCACAATTGCTTCAGCGACTTGACAGCCTAGAGCAAGGACTCCAGACATTGCGGACTGGCGATGCGGGAAGTTCCTCGCAACCCTCTCAACCGGCCTCAAACGGCCAGAACGCCGCCCCGCACACCTTCTCCCTCGACACAAATGGCTCGACCCCCAAGACTTCCCGTCCCAGTGAAGAAGAATTCTCTCTGCGCAACTGAGCATATAAAAAATAAAGACAAGTGTCTGTTTTGACGGCAGAGATTTCTATACCTGGAGCTTCGAGCTGGAGCTTCTGCTGCAGAACGGTCAGATCTTTCATTACTTTGACGGGAGCTACGCGGAACCAGCTGAGGATACCGACGACGCCAGGACAAGGTACTACAACGAGTCCCTGATGGCGTACGGTGTCCTCCTGCAAAACATGACGCCGGCGGAGCAGCTCAGTATTCGATCGTACAAGGAGTCCCCTACTCCAGCGCTCGATGTCTGGCGGCATCTGAACGGCGTCTACCAACCGAAAGATTCGGTTTCTTCGAGCCGCCTGCTCCAGCAGCTACTGGAGACAAAAATGGCCCCAGGGGAGAAGGCCAATAGCTACATCAATCGCTGTCGGAGCCTCCGCGATCAAATCGCGAAGTTGGGAAGCTCGATCTTAGAAGAAATTTTTGTCAACATCGTGCTTCAAGGGCTCGGCCCAGAGTGGCGGCCCTGCAAGGCGCTTCTCCGACAGCAGGGGGTCATCTCGGAGGCCGCCCTTTGCGCCGCCCTTCTCGTCGAACAGAGGGATATGGATCAGCAGCGACCAGCGCCGCGACGAGAACGAGAACGGCTCGCCTTCTACGCCGACAACACCGAAGAGCGACGGCCGCGGCGCCTCTATTGCAAAATTTGCAGAAATTTTGGGCACTTGGCACATCTCGCCCTCGCCAGACCAATCCGAGCAACTGGTCCGGCCGACAAGACGCACGAGGCGACGTGCGTCCAGCCCAGGGGTATCAACCCCCATCGCGCAACCTGAACCCAGCGGTTCAGCATCAGCAGCAGCAGCCATCACCGCCTGCCCCAGTACGCAATGTCATGGGGAACATGGCTATGACAGTCGGATCCCATCGTCGCCGCGTGCGCTGACCATCACCTGAGCCAGCTCCGCATCCCATCGGCACGTTCTCCAACAACAACCCATTCAGCCCGCGCCACGACTTCACCGACGACGACGATCAAGATTGGAACTTGCCAATCCCGTTGCTTGAAAGTCTCCCGCACGTACCCGACATGCGGGCGGCGCCACTCGATTGGCTCTCGCGCGAGCAGTTTCTAAAATTCAACACACCTCACATCGTCACGCCGCGTCTGGCGCTGCTCGCGCGTGACGACAGGAAGCGCTACAACACCTGGTACCTGGACAGCTGCTGCGGCCAGCATATGGTGGGCTCCGAGCGTTTTATCTCCAACGCCGTATCCACCCCTACGGTCACCTACGTCACCGTGGCGAACAATACGCGCCTGCGCGCAAGCGCGCAAGGCATCGTCATGCTCAAGGCACCAGGAAGACGCACGCACATCTCCCTCAATGACGTGCTTATCGTCCAGAATCTGCGCTTCAACCTGCTTTCCGCCGCTCAGCTCATGGATTTCGGCGTCGACCTCAGCACGGATCACGAGACACGCGACATCCTGCTGCACTATGAATCGCCGACAATTTCCCGCAGGCAGATCGGAAGAGCGCACCCCGAAAATGGAGTGTACATCCTGGACTTCGACATTCCCGACTGCAGCGGCGATTCGAACGAGTTAATCGATCTCGTTCCACTGCGCTTCGAGCACATTCACTGCAGGGACTGGAAACACCCCGACGGAAGACCGTGTGTACCACATCGTCCTCACCC